CACGAGATATCATCAAAAAACACGAGTGCGTCACAATACCCACCTGCGTCATAATACCCCCCTCTCCCTTATATATACAAATTGCAGGATTGTAATTTTTATAATTAAGGGCGCTCTAAACAATAAAGAAATAAAAATTTGTAGCGCGTTTTAAATCAAGAATTTCTTTTAGAAATTACGTTTTTATAATGCAAAAACAGTTTTTGTGTGGCTTTGAAACTTTTAAGCAAAGCCATATAATCTTAAACAAGTGGCTGTTTCAATCATTTCATAAATTATGCCTATATCGATATCACTATGATCAGAAATTTGCTCACGTGAACAAATGATCAAAAATCATAGCGATAAATTTTTTAAAAATTTTTGTATTATGTAATATATATGTAATTATTATTCTATATACGTAAAAGTGTTCATATGCATCCTTATAAAAAAATTAGGTATTAATATATAAAAATTATGATTATTAAAGACATTATAAATTATATAAGCTACACGCAGTTATAAAAGAACAACGGCAACCAACACCACTAAGAACAATATGCCGAGGGAATTTTTTTTTGGGCCACTTGCTTCAGATAATTTCGTTGGACTGGGGACCATGGTTGTAGCACTAACAGTTATTATTGCCTCCCCGCGGGCTCTATATTTGGGATTACAATCCTTATCGCAAGCTGATAAAAAAAAAAAATTAAAGAAAAAATTAAAAAAAAATCTTATAATATTTATAATTATTTAATTAATACATAAATCTGTTTTACCATAAGAGCCATCCCTGTAATTAATACAACGATTAATAAGAACTTTTAAGTTTATTAATAAGCAAAGTTTAAAATTGAGAAAAACCTACTTGCTACAACAGGATCCAGTAAGACATGGTGAATTATCACCATTAGGGCCACACGACGCGGATTGTACATATGTGGTTAAGAAAGCAAAATAGAAGAGCACCAAAAGTGATAATAACACAATTAATGATGTTGTATTTCGTTTGTACATTTTTTTTCTATTGCTTTTTCAATTCTATAAATTATAAAATTATAATTGTTTTTTTTTTTTTTTTTTAAATTTAAATTTTATATATATAATTATATATATATATATTTTGCTTTCTTTATCGTTGAAAGAATATACACATACGTGCGCTTGATGTCGGGTTTCGAATGGCTTGGGTATTTATACTAAATGATATTTCATGATATTCATCATAATTCATTAATCGTAATCCCGTAATTAATCTCGTATTCGATCACCGATTATGAAAGTTGTGTACGTATGTACATAATCAGAAAAGTCCAATCAACGTCCGCATGCTTATTTGAAACCTGTTTATTTATTCC